TCTATCTTGGTTCCTAGTGCCTTTTGAAACCGGTGTCCGCTCCGGGAATTAAGTCTATCCGAAATTCGACCTGCCTGTGAGGGGGTAGACCACGCAATTCCTCCAGAAACACCTCGGGATAGTTTTGAACCACTGGAATCTCCTTGAGTTGCTTAACTTCAGGTTCTCTCTCTAGCACGTGGGCCGTGAATGCAATACAATTCTTCTTCAGGTACTTGCGAATCTTCATGCTTGATACTATGTTTAAACTTCTTCCTGGCTTCTCACCGTGTATGATAAGGGTTTCTCCATTAGGGAGAGGCACTCTAATGACTTTCTCGTAACAACCAATGTCCGCTCTATTTTTGGATAACCAATCCATCCCTACTATCACATCAAAACTACCTAGCTCTATCGGAATTAGGTCAATGCTAAAGAGTTTATCAGCTAAATTCATAGTACAACCAGGAATTATATCACTAGCCCTAATTTCATATCCATCAGCAAGTTCAACAGCATAAGCATTCCTCATCTTTACCGATTTCAAGCCAATTAACGGTCTAAATGCTAAAGAAACAAAACTCATATCTGCTCCCGCATCGAATATTACTTATACAAATGGTTGTTCAGGAGAAACGTCCTGTTATCACTTTAGGGTTCTGACGAGCTTCTTCTGCACCAATCACAAAGGCTACACCTCTTGGCCGTCCAACTTGATTTCCTTGAAAGTTTTGCCTGGCTTGGCCTTGTCCATTGTTACCAGGTCCATTGTTCAGTTTGGGACATGCTCTACGGAGATGATCAGTACTCCCGCACTCGTAACATGCCCTTTTTCCCTCCTTATTCACCTTACAATACTTCGAGTAATGGCCTGTTTGCTTACAGTTTTGGCACACTAGGCAAGCTCCCTTGTGATGGAAGTTACACTTATTGCACTTCGGAAGTGGCCCTGAGTACTGCTTTCGCTCCTGAACTTCCCGTTCTTGAGTTTTCACTGGTTCTTGCTCCTGGGATCTTACCATAAAGTTTGTTGAGACTTTCTGCTTCCTCCCTGACTTGCCTCCATACTTCGTCTCTCCCTGATCTGCTGGCTTCCTCTTACTACTAGAGCTTTCCTTTGTCGATGCTCCCATTCTTATCACATCATTGGTTAGTCGATTTGCTAGACTTACTGCACTTTGAATAGTAGTTGGGTTTGCTGAGGTAACCATTCCCCGAATCTCTGGTGCCAGACCCCAGATGTAACGATCTATCCGTTTCTCCTCAGGAGTAACCATGTGAGGTACCAGCTTTGCTAGTTCATGAAATCAGACTATGTACTTCTCTATTTGTGTTCTAACCATAGAGTGGTTCCAGAATTCAGATTCAAGCTTCTAAAGTTCATCCTTGGGACAATACTCCTCTATCAGCAGCTTCTTTAGGTCTTCCCAAGTTAGCTGGTATGTCGTTGTACGGCCTCGGGTTTGCACTAGGGTATTCCACCAGGTCAAGGCCCTATCTTGGAGTAGGCAAGTTGCATACTCAACCTTATTGCGCTCGAGGCATTTGCTAATGTGAAGGACCGACTCCATGCTGTCAATCCATTTCAGTAATCCAACCGCACCTTCCTTTCCATGGAACCCCTTAGGTTTACAGGCCATAAAGGACTTGTAGTTGCATTCTCTTTCATTGTTTCCCCGGTTTCCTCCACTACTTCCTTGGTTAGCATTAAGTCCTGCAATTACTTGAGTAACAATGTTTGGGATTGCTTGCATGAGTTGTTGTGCTACCATTTGAGCAACATCGGGTGTTTCGTTCTGTGGGCGCCCGCGACTAGGCCTTCCTGCCATGGTTCTGTAACACAGGAGAAGAAATACGTATAAATACATAAATTAATGTATAATATGTAGTTCACTACTATTTTGAAAACCGTAAGTGTTGTCAAATCATTGGTTTGCATTAATACTAGGCATATAGATTTTTGAAAGAAAAGAAAAGAAAATCTCTTTTATTCAACCATTTATCAAATAAATTTAGGGTTTGACCTCATAGTAAAAGTTTTCAAACATAAAATAAAATTCTTCATTACCATTTGAGATAATCTAAAAACCAAACCAATACATCAATCCCAAAATAAAGTTTTAAATGTTTTTCCCAAAAGACACCCAACATGGGTTTTCATTTCATAACAAAATAAAATAAAATACTGAAATCAGAACCAAAAGCCAATCGCTATCCCAACAAAAAGCATCAACACCACAAACAGGAACAGCCCACCAAACACATAATATGTTGTCATCGCATGACCTGCCTCTCGTCTAGCAGCACTAGCAGTGTTAGCAGTCTCCA